TGCCCCTGCCTGGCTCATGCACAGTCTCTCAAAAAAAAAAAAAAAATGCTGGATGGATGGACAGCCGGGTGAACAGAAGTGTTGAGACAGAATGGAAAGGAAAGGGGCCTCGGTCTGAAGGTCAGAGAGCAGGCTCCCCACCATTCCCGACTCGGTGGAGAACCACAGGACCCCCTGGCCCTTCTCCGACCCCATTTTTCTCATCTATAAAAGAAGAAGCTTGGATGACCTGATCCCCAAAGGCTTTTCCCTCAGCGATCCTCTCCGAGACTCCGAGCCTGTGGCCTCAGGTGGGATGGAGGGATGGACCCTCCCAAGGCCAAAGACTCAGGTCCACAGAGTGTTGGAGAGGTCAGGTGGAGGGATCAGCCTGGAGCGGAGGAGGATCAGCCTAGAAGAGAGGCCACTTCGTGCTAAGGTTCAGGTGTGCCCAGAAGTACTGTGGTATTTGCCCGATTCTGCCTTCCTCCTCCAGCGTCAGTGCCCACGGTCCTCTCTGCTGTTTACAGCTCTCGCCTAGAGCTGGGAGCTGAGGCCACCAGCGCCGTGCTTAGGAAGGCGCGGTGACTTATCCAAGGCTCCACCACCGATGGCATTGCTGTCCAGGCTTGGAAGGTCTCTGTTCAAATGACCCCAGAGAAGGAGCCCCATAGGTCTGGGTGCTCAGGAAGTCTTTGTTAGCTGGGGGTAACAAAGGGGATGTCGTCTCTGGACTAAGACAGGGTTCCCTTTAAGGAGGTCGGTCCTCTGCAGTGCGTCCCCTCCACCCCCCGCCCCTGCTACTGTGATAGCTCTGATGTCAGTTCTGTACTAGCGACCTCCTTAAGATCTTTCCTGCCAGGGAAGGCAGTGAGACCCAGGGTATTGGCCTCTTGCCAACCTCTCCAGCCTTTTGTGTCTCGAATTGCCCCTTCTTCTCTCTTTCCCTCTGCCCCATGCCCTCCTGTCCCCCCCTCATCTCACTGTCATCCCCACTTGCTTTTTCCCCTCACACGCCTTTCCTGTGTTCTCCGTAAGACCCACTCCTCTTCAGTCCCGGTTCCTGCTGTCTCCTGTCCCCGTTGGGCTAATGACAGTACCCTGATCAGCGCTCAGGACAACTTGGTGAAATGGTGTGGTTCCCTGCCCCTCTCACCTCCCCGTCGCTCGGTACACAGAGACTTGTAACTTTGTACCCTGAGCGCTTAGCACACTGCCCTGCTTTGGGCTGGTTCTGTGATGTATATAATAACAGCCTGCACTTCTCGGGTGCCGAGTGTGGGCCAGGCACTGAACCAGGGCTTCACGTGGACGAACTCACTGGCCCTTCACATCCATGGGCAGGCAGGGCGGCTCCTGGCCCATTACATATAGAAGCGGTCTGGAGCAGTGAACAGTCCACACAACTGTACTGTAGACGTCACCATCAGCAGCAGCAGCACCACCACCACCTTCACCATCCTCCGCCCCGTTTTATAAATGAAGGGTAAGATGGATAAGAGAGTTTCAGGAACTCGCCCTAAGTCACAGAGCTAATAAATGCCAGAGCCAGGATTTGAATCGGCCATCTGGTTACAGGGTTCCAGCTCTGAGCTCTTACGTTCTGCTGCTTTCTATCATGCTTGGCTGCCAACGTGTGTGTGGTGGGTATCGGAAGGAAAGATGTGATGCCTTTAGGAAGAGCAAGAATGAGAAGGCGTCTCAGGTACAGGCATCAGCAAAAGCCTGTGGGTGTAGATCAAGATGGCCCCCCTTCCGGACCCAGTGGTCTGGGTGAATTGATGTCGCCCCTGGTTCTCTGACCTCCACCCTTCTCCCTACCTGCCCAGAGGGCCGGAGCACCTCCTGCTGATGTAGCAAAGACCTGACCCTGACACATACTTCCTGTGCGGCATTTGGGCACATTTCTTAATCTCTCGGAGGTTCAATGTCCTCATCTGCAAAATGTGGACAAGAATCGCGCCTTCCCCATAGTTTGGTTAAGGATTGAATGACATAATGCCTCTGAATTGCTTAACATAGTTCCACAAACATTGCGAGGGATCAAGAAACGGTTGAAGAGGTCGAATATATATATAGGTTTATTTATTTATTTTTGAGAGACAGAGAGAGAGAGAGGGAGAGAGAGAGATCCCAATCGGGTTCCACGCTGTCAGTGCAGAGCCTGACGTGGGGCTCGAACCCACAAAACAGTGAGATCATGACCTGAGCCGAAATCAAGAGTCAGACACTTAACCGGCTGAGCCACCCAGGCGTCCCTTGAATATATTTTTGGTGAAATGCATAGTGCGGACACTTTACCCTCGTCTACTCTGTCCCAGAGGACTGGCTCTCGCAAACTACATTTTCCAGGCCCACTGGCCCACGCGTGGGAGGCCCTGGCTGGGTGGGGAGAGAGAGCAGGAGGACGGAGGGAGCTATGGGGTTTCTCCCTCTGCTTCGGGCAGCGTCTTTGAGGTGGCCTCATCCCTTCCCTGGTCCCAGCCCCAGCGAGACAGTCCCTGACAGGGTGCGAGCCCCAGGGGGCAGCCTCAGCCCCTCGTGGCCCCCCCCCCCCCCCCCCGGTGTCAGCCCCTCCTCCCTCATCCCCCAGCCCAGGGAGAGATGCTGTCTGTGTTGCAAAGCTCCACGATGCCTCCAAGAACCTCAGGAGTAGAGTTTGCCAGGACTAGTCAATTAAAAAAAAACAGGAAGTCCCGTTGAAGTTTCATTTCAGCCAGACGACATGTCATATTTTAAGGGGAAGTATCCCCAGATATGCAGGGAACATACTTACGTGGAAAAAAAAAAAAGAAAATCTTTGTGCATCTGAAACGCACATCGAACTAGCCTTCCTGCGTTGCATCTGGTGGCCCCACACGTGAGTCCTCTCGATGCCTCAGACACCATCGCACCTGACTCTCCGTATTAATTGTCTCTGTTAAACTTCCCGATAAGGGCTCTTTTGTCGCCGGATCAGATGCCGAGGCCAGCGTGAGCCAAATGCGTGTTCCTGGAATCCGAAAGCGACCCCCTTACCCCAGCCTTTTATTCACCTTCCAGCTCCCCGGGAGTTCAAAAAGGAACACAGAATTTCAAACGGACGTTAATTGAGCAGACGTAAGTGCCAGGCACCGGAGCCCTTGGCAGAGATGAAACACTTTGCTCTCTTAATCGATGGCATCAGAACACCTCTCAAAGAGAGGTTCTGTTTAGGAAAATACCTTAACGAGCCACTCGGGGTGGAATCGGGGACCCCGAGGGCAAAGAAAACCAACCAAAGAAACGGCCTGTACCAGGCTTAGGAAAAGCAGGGGAATCTTTTTTTGCCGCAGAGGGAGCGGAGGGCAGAGCTGTCCTGGTTGCCGTAGGACTGGAGGGCAGAGCTCTCTGGTAAAGGAAAACCCCAATTTCATGACGCCCAGAAATTCTGTCGGGGATTGGCACGGAGCACAGGGAAGGCTGGCTTGTGTCTGCTCCACGGTGTCTGGGACGACTCAGTGGCACGTCTGTCTCCCCGTGAGGTAGCTGGAAACGTCGAGAGCCATCTGTGCCTGCCAGTTTGGTGGCCGATGTGGCCTCCCTCAGCTGGGACTGCTGACCAGAGCGTCATCCATCACGGCCATTCCGTGCGGTCTGGGCTTCTCCACGAAGGGAATAGGACTTCTTGCACGAAGCGTAGGGGTCCAAAAGCCAGTGTCCCGGTGGGCCTGGCAGAAGCTGGTCTCGGACCAGACTGACCTAGTCTCGGATATAAGGACCACTCCCTCCTTGCCCTGTCTGGGGGACGGGACTGCCCACAGTCGGGAGGCGGAGACGGACGGCTCCGGTGGAAGGGAGGGTGGTCGGGTCACATAACAGGAGAGCGGGCACAATGGGAGAGCTCGTCAACCATGGAAAAAAGCGCCATCTGCCACAAGGAGGGAGAGAAGAGGAGGAAGGGGGCAAAAGAAACCGGGAAACAAACATGCGTTTAGAACAACATGTGGCCGGAAATGGAAGTGAAAGACGGGAGCGGGGAGACTTGGGCAGAGGAGTCGACGGGGAGGCCCTAGAAATTTCAACCGGGTCGCTGACTTCCTTTGCAAGCTGGAGGCATTGCTGCGGGGTCACGTCCCCGTCCTCTGCCTCCCACGCGCCTCAGTCAAGTACCCCGGGCCCACCCAGGGCCTGGGCCGGCGTGTGCCTGTGCACGCTCGTTCGTGTGCACACAGAAAGGGATGGGGCTCCACGGGTGACGTGTCGCGATGCTAAGAAGATGGAATGAAGGCTCTCAGACTTCATGACCCGGCAGCAAGGACAGTGACATGCCAGTAACTCTGAGCCCTTGAGCCCGAGTCACCGGGAATTTGCAAAAAACTTGGGGTGGGCTTTGGGTTTGTCTAGAGTGCAGAACGGGGAGTCAGGCCGATTGTACTCACTCATTCGCTCCTCTGTTCTTTTGCCCAACAAGCTTGGGTCGTGCACCTGCGGTGTGTCAGAGACCGTGGTTGGAGCTGAGGCAGCAGCAGGGACAAGACAGCCCGGCTCTGCCGCACGGAGGGGACCTTTTAGCGAGATGGGCAGTGAACAGGTAAATACAAGTAAAATTAAAAAGCAAGTTGGGGCGCCTGGGTGGCACAGTCGGTTAAGCGTCCGACTTCAGCCAGGTCACGATCTCGCGGTCTGTGAGTTCGAGCCCCGCGTCAGGCTCTGGGCTGATGGCTCAGAGCCTGGAGCCTGTTTCCGATTCTGTGTCTCCCTCTCTCTCTGCCCCTCCTCCGTTCATGCTCTGTCTCTCTCTGTCCCAAAAATAAATAAACGTTGAAAAAAAAAAAAATTAAAAAAAAAAAAAAAAAAAAAGCGAGTAAATAAAACACAAAATAAGAATGTCCGCGTCGGCCAACGACCCCCAAACCTCAGCACCTCCCGCGATAGAAACTCGTGTCTCGCGCGCAGAGGGATTAGTGTGGGGGGGGTTATCCGGTCTTCCCTGGTATGGGGTGCAGGCTTCACTATCGTGTGACATGCCTCCCATCTGCTGGGACTTACCGGCCCCACAGCCAGGGACGGGGGTGGGGGTGGGGAGCACGGAGGCCCGTGCGGAGGAGTTTCATACACCAGCGCTGGAAACAGAGCACAGCACTCCTGCCCAGGTGCCATTGCCAAGGGCACGGTCCCGTGGCCACACCTCGCGGCAAGGAAGTGGGGAGGTGTGGTGGCCTGGGTGCCCGGGAGGAGGAGGAGCGTGACAAAGGGGACGAAGGAAAAAAACAAGGTATGGTGACAGCGGCCGGGGTAAGTGGGGAACCGTTCACACCGTGCGGGCAAGTCAGGCCTGTCTGAAGAGATGGCACCTGAGCTAGGATCTAAAGGGCGACAGGTGCCCGGCGGTCCACGCCGCTGGGGACACGTGCCCCGCACAGAAAGGAAATCAAGGACAAGTCCCCGAAAGGGTGGCCAGGTCGGTGCGTTCAAGGAGCTGGGGCGGCCAGTGTGGACAACCCGGGGTGAGGGTGGCGAGACGGCAGACCCCACATTCCCTGCAGGGCCCTCGAGGGAGCTTGATCTCAGCTCTAAGTGGCGCCAGGAGCCCCCGGGGGGTTTCCAGCAGGGACGTCCCTGAATCTGGGCTGCATTTTTCAGAGATCTTATCCTCCTTCCAAAGGGCAAGGAGGCCTTTATGGGTATTTGAGTTATCTGAGTTACAGTTTACCGTGTCAACCCATCCTCATGATAGCTTTGGGGAGGAGACAGCGTTGACCCTTTTGTGCGAGGGGAAACGGAGGGTCAAAAGCAGCAATAATTTTCCCAAGGTCGCTCGTGACCTTGGCGTAGCCAACTCTAGTTCCGGACCCAAGGCCAAGAGAGGAGTCATGGCTGAGGATAGAGGCCAAGGCTCAGTCAGGGCCCAAGGGTGGGGCAGTGCCCCTCTGCCAGGAGGTGGACCTCTTCACCCTGAGGGATGGCCCCATGAAAGGAGCAGATCATAATACCCCTTTCTCTCGGCCAGTGGGAAGGAAGCCCGGTGACCTTAGGACACAGTGGCTGTCAGTGATCATTGCAAAGACAGCCAACTCACCACGCTCGGCTGAGGAATGGCTTCTCCCCAGAGATGTCTGTGCCCCATCCGCAGACGGTGGGAACATGTGACCTTACTTGGGAAGGGGATTCTGCAGGTACGGCTAAGTTAAGGGTCTGGAGGTATTCCTCTATTACGTGGCTGGGCCCACTGTAGTCGCAAGGGCACTTCTAAGAGGGCAGGAGGAGAGGCAGAGTCCCAGACAGAGACGTGACAACATCATGGCCTGGGGCCCTGAGCCACGCCGTAGTGGGCAGCCTCTGGAAATCCGAGAGAACAAGCAAACGATTCTCCCCTGGAGCCCCCACCAGGAAGGTGGTCCTTGACTTGAGCCCACAGAGACCCATTTCAGACTCGTGACCCCCAGAGCTCTAAGGCAACAAATTCATGTTGTGTTGAGCCCCTGAGTGTGTAGCAATTTGTTACAGCCTCATCACAGGACACGTGTACAGCTAAGACAGGGAAACACCCACGACAGGGACTTCTAGAGGCTCCAGGAGCTGGCACCAAAGCCGAGGGGTCCCGGCCACTGCCGGTTCTCAAGATCCCTGACGGCTGGGCCCGAGAGCAAGCCCAGCCTTGACCCTTGGCCACCTTGGCAGAGGTGGCACTCGTGGCCTCCCCAAGGCTGCTGAGCAGCTGGTGGGCCTGGTTAATCAGTAAGGCTCGTGTTTGTCCGGCCTGGCCTTCTGGTGACTTAGCACTCCTTGGCCTAGTTATGATAGTTTGCACTATCAGCATTTAATAAAATGTAATGAGTAACCAGGGTCCTGAGGTCTCCACACCTGCCTTCTCCAAACACAGCTGATTGGCCCCACCTCCCCAGGGACTTTGGGCTGGGGACAAATCCGACACGGTTGAGAACATGTGCCCCCCCCCCACCCCCAACCCTGGGGATGGGCCTGAGCCCTGAGCGGGCTGGCCTTGGGTTCAGGGTCCAGCTCCCCTTACCGGCTGTGGGTCACCCGGCCTCTCGGAGCCTCCGTATCTGCGTCTGCAAGGGACCTGCTTTGTCTGTTCAACAAATGTTTATTAACCATTAACTCTACAGCCTGTGCCGAGGGGAATGTGATGCAGTGGAAAGAGCTGAGAGAATCTGGCGGGGGGCCTCACGAGTACCCAGGAGATGGGAGATTCCCGTCTCCTTGGTCCCCGTACAACAAAAGTGTGAGTTTGTCTTCGGGCTGCCCAGAGACGTTCCTGGGGGTTCTAGGAGTTGTGTGCGTGCGGGGATGGGAGGGGGCACAGTTAGGGTGCTCACGGCACAGGGGCTGTGTGCATGTCAGGGGCACCAAGCAGCGTGAGGCGTAGCTTGGGCGTCCCAGCAAGTGGCTCAGTGTCCCAGAGCATCAGCGTCCTCATGCCTAAAAGGAGACTCATCAGCCAGGCCTCCCCAAGTCGGGAGGATTACAAGGCGATGGTTTCTAGAGAGCTGCGTCCATGTGGCTAAGCACACGGAAAGCGCTCAGTAGAGGTTGGCTCCCTTCTCTGCCTTCCAGCCCCCTGCCAACGGAAAGCCTCAACCTGCAAGGTAGGGAGGTCCCCATGGCTAGATGTCTTCCAGCAGAGACTGGACTCCTGCCCACGGGGTCGTAAGAAAAGATGGGCACATGTGGGCATGCTCGGCGGCTTGAGACCCTCATGAGCCACCGGAGCAGGCAGTGTGCTCCAGGAAGGCCGGCCACGGGGGAGCTGGGGAACGATGGGGAAAAAGTAAGGGAGGCGATGGGGTCAAGAGGACACCCTTATTCCTCAAGCCTGTCTTCTGCTAGGACACGGGGGTCTAGGCCCTGTCTTCTCGGCAGAGGCTCCTTTGTGGCCATGTGCAAGGTACGGCTTGTTCTTGAAGCCCAGAGGGTTTGGAGACATCGAAGACATTTCGAGCGTCAGTTGATATAATCATCACAACACGTTAGGGCTGGAAGGAGGCACAGACACTATCGGGCCTTTCAGCTACAGATTGGGACACCGAATCACCGAAGGGGTAAAGGTTTCCCCAAGGCGATAGCCATGGACCCAGCCAGGTCTTTGTAACCAGGGCTCTGCCTAAAACAGACCTGTGACCTCACACAAGCCAATTCTAACGTGTTAGCCTTCCTCCCAGATGTTCACAGAACATCCCTCCCCAGAGAGTCCGCCTCTGGGAAGACTGGTTCCCTATTGCCCTCCAGCTCTTCATTTAGCTCCTTTTCAAACGTGTTGTTCTTTATTGAAGACGTTTATTCATTGGCCTAACACACGTTAGTAGGGTATTTAGTTATTAGTACGTATCCCGCCAGGACCGGGGATAACACGGCAAGGAAAAATTTTCTCTGAATAGTTGCTCTTGTCACGACAAAGCCATGAGTCTAGAGGTAGGACAGGTGTCTATTCAATAAGTATACAAATAGCTCTTGGTTTCTTCCCATGGCACCCTGAGCCCATGAAGACCAGGGACCAAGTCTGTCCTCTTGGGACAGACAATGTGAGGACGCTCACAAGATCCGGAAAGTCGCTTGTGAAACAGGCGGGCGTCTTGCCAACCAGTTAAACTGTTGGTAGCTTGGCATCCAAAATGGTGGGAGTATTCATCCCACGGAAACTGGCAAGAGCCATGAATCAGGGCGCTTCATTTTGTGGTTTCCCGGCATACCCCTCTGGGTCAGGGCCCCCCACCTGGTAAGAACTCGGGAAACACCCTGATGGATGAACTCTCACAAATTCCTTTCTTTGAAACAAGTACTGTATTGTGCCCATTTTTCAGATGAGGAAACCGAGCTTTCAGAGGGTTAGTCATTTGCTCAAGGTCGTACAGCAAGTGGTGAAGCCAGAATCCGGCTTAGATCTCTGGCTCGTACACTCTGCTCTCAACCTCCGGTCGGCAGGGCCAGGCCTTTCAGGCAAAGGGATCTGTCTACACTGCAGGAAGGAGGAGGGAAAGAGAGGCCGGTGCTGGGAAGCCCAGGGCTGCCCGGGGAAGGCGAGGGAGGGGTCTGTGACAGCACGCTGTGAGATCGGATCTGGGTTTCGGAACGTCGGGCCCAGGCCCCTGAAAAGTGGAAGCAGAAGATGCTCTTGCCTGTTGTTGATTGGTCTCGTTTCCAAAAATATAAACGCCCACCTGGGAGGCCCGGAGTCCTTCCCAGGAAGGCACGTCTGAGGCCCATTCCAAGGGGAGGTCAGCTGAGGCACTCCAGGGACGGCTGCTTAATGGGCCGCTGTTGGCAGAGCTCGTGGGCAGACCTGTTTCTTTTTATCAGAGAAGATATTCACGGAAGGTTCTGTGTCCTCGGGCCTGCCGCTGTGCCTATTCCAAAACCCCAAGGGCTCCCCGAAGGGGTTTGCACCAAGACTTCCCATCTGGCTGGCTCCTGACTTGACCGTGCTCACCGCGTAGTCAGCATTTGGTGGGTGTCGTGAAGGAACGAGACAGTGCGTCTCTGATGTGGGTTAAGTAAATAACGCCCGTTTTCTCTGATTTAAAAGTAGCATAACTTGGGAAACACAGATATTTTGAAGAAAGAAAAGAAAAACCATAACCCAGCCGTAGACATAACCACGCTTGTCAGTCTGGTGCAGTCTTTTAAAAATATGTGTGGGGGGGAGGCACCTGGGTGGCTCAGTCGGTCGGACGTCCGACTTCGGCTCAGGTCACGACCTCGAGGTTTGTGGGTTCGAGCCCCGCGTCGGGGTCTGGGCTGACAGCTCGGAGCCTGGAGCCTGCTTCCGATTCTGCGTCTCCCTCTCTGTCTGCCCCTCCAATGCTCATGCTTTCTCTCTCTCTCTCTCTCAAGAATAAACATTAAAAATTTTTTTAAATGTGCAGCCATGTGTACGCTCATTGTATTTTATCTCCACATAATCCTCTATCAGAAGAAATTCTCATGCTTATTAAAATCCTATGAAGATCGTCATTATTTAGCATACCGTCACGAGATTGCCAAGATTTATGTAACCGATCCCCTAAGTTTTGACGTTTCTATTGTGCCTTTGTTTATTCTTTTTTTAAAAAAGTTTTTGACATTTCTATTGTTCCTTTGTTTATTCTTTTTTTTAAAGTTTATTTATTTATTTTGAGAGAGAGAGTGAGAGTACAAGCGGGGAGGCGGGGGGCGGAGGGGGCGAGATAGAGAAGGAGAGACAGAATTCCAAGCAGGTTCCATGCAGCACAGAGGCCAACACGGACCGTGAGATCATGACCTGAGCCGAAGTCAAGGGTTGGATGCTTAACCAGCTGAGCCACGTGGGCGCCCCACGTTCCTTTCTTTACTCTTATCAACCCCCCTGCTCTGATGTTTCTTCTTCCTAAATTGTTACCCAGATGCCAGTCTTGGTTTCGCTTTTCCTTTTTATTATGACTCCCTAGACGTGGATTTAGCAGGTCAGAGCAAGAAGTTTTCAAAGTAGAATATAACTATTCCATAATAAATACATAAAAAGTAAAATATAATAAATCAATACTAAATTCGTTTCTAGAAAATTGGTTCCAGGGCAGTAAGTACTGGCGTTTTTAACTTCACGGACTTGGTGGGTAACTGATGTGTGTTTTACTGGTGGCTGGGGGGGGGGGGGGACCACATTTTCCATCTATTCGTGAGCCCTTCACGCTTCCTCCCGGGAGCCGAGGACGCAAGTCTCCAGCACAGGCTCGGGAGAGGGTATCGGCTTGGGCTCCTGGACAGTCCTCCTGCCCCGAGGCCCGTGGGCTGCCCGCCCTCACGGAGGCTGATTGGAGCAGCAGAACCATGCTTCTCCTGGCACAGCGGGAAGACTTCTGGGAAAAGCCACCGCGCACCTGGCGAGCCCAGCCTCTCTCCCGGCTCACTTGGCTCCCAGCACGGACAGGCGGCCAGCTTCCTCCTTGGGAAGAAGAGAAAGAGAAGCTAAGAAGTGAAGGACTGGGGGCGCCTGGGGGGCTCAGTTGGTTAAGCGTCCGACTTCAGCTCAGGTCCTGATCTCCCAGTTTGTGGGTTCGAGTCCCACGTCGGGCTCTGTGCTGACAGCTCGGAGCCTGGAGCCTGCTTCGGAGTCTGTGTCTCCCTCTCTCTCTCTGTCCCTCCCCCGCTCAAAAATAAAACAAAACATTAAAAAAAAAAAAAAGAAGAAGTAGTAAAGTGAAGGACAGGAAAGAGTTTCCTGCCTCTGGGGTCTGGATTAGGAAGGAACTAGGATTATTTTAGATTCTCCCTGAGAACTAACCCTGGAACGGTCGATCAGGGCATCTCTGGGTCACAGAGATGAAGGTCCCTTGTGCCCTTTCATCCAGAGGAGCAGCTACGGGCTGGGGCTCTGGAGCCAGACTGCTGGGGTTGCAATCCCCACCTGCCACTTACTACCCACGTGACAGTCACTTCACACTCCTCTCAGACCTTTGGTGCTAAATGAGACAACAGACACGGTGTGTCAGGCACAGCGGAGACAGAGGGGGAGCAAAGCAGCAGCCGTTACTCTTACATTGGTGCCCTTTTCCCACTGTAACAAACCACCAGGAGGTTAGCGCCTTAACGCTTAGGATTTTATAGTCCTGGGGGTCAAAAGTCCTAAATGGGACTCGATGGACTAAAACCAAGGTGTTGGCAAAGCTACATTCCTTCCAGAAGCTGCTGGTGGCTTCTCCTCCTTCAGAGCCAGGAACCACAGCCCTCTGACCTCTGCTACCATCATCACGTTTCTGACTCCGGGGCCTCCCTCTTCCATGTTTTAAGGACCCTTGTAATTACCTTGGTCCCACCCAGATAATCCAGGATAATCTCTTTATCTTAACGTCCTTAATTGCATCTGCAAAGTCCCTTTTGCCAAGTAAAGTCACATAGGCTGCGGGGATTAAGATATGGACATCTTTAGGGGTCATCATTCTGCCCATCACACGATTTTATTTTCCCACATATTTCTTGAGTACCTGTTCTTTGTCAGGTGTCGAATCTTCTTCTGCTCTGAATAAGATTTAGGACTATTTTCTCAAGGCACTCACGGGCTGGTGCCAGTAGCAAGTAAGTAAACCAATAACCAAACCAAAGAGTTTAAGGGGTAAAGAACTAACGTTACACAGAGAATGGAGGACCCGATGAGGAGGAATATATCTGGGGGAGAAAGAAATCTCACGTAGAGGAAGCAGGACAAGCAAAGGCATAAAGCAAAGAAGAGGCCACGTCAAGGGGTTTGCTCTAATTCCAGCTTAGAGCACGTAGACACTTAGATCCAATCTCGGTTGGGTCAGAGGCTGAAGCATCTCTGAGACAGGAGCCTAGAGAAGAAGAAAGACCCTCGATCACAGAGGACATACACGTCACAGTGAAGAGCTTGGATTTTATTGAGTAGGCCATGGAGAGAAGATGACAGATTAAGAGCATGGGATATGGTTAGGCTTCTAGTTTGCAATAAGATGGGGTGTGGACTGGGAGTGGGTGATAGCACACAAGGGGACGAGCTTACACACCACCATCCTTCCATCCATTCACTTATCCATACATTCAACTAACTATTCACTCTTCAGTCCATCCATCCATCCATTTGTCCATCCATCCATCTGTCCATCCATCCATCCATCCATCCATCCATCCATCTATCCATCCATGTGTCCATACATCTGTCCATCCATCCATCCATCCATCTGTCCATCCATCCATCCATCCATCCATCTGCCCATCCATCCATCTGTCCATCCATCTGTCCATTCATCTGTCCATCCATCTGTCCATCCATCCATCTATCCATCCATCTGTCCATCCATCTGTCCATCCATCCATCCATCCATCCGCCCATCCATCCATCCATCCATCCATTTGTCCATCCATCCAACTGTCCATCCATTGGTCCATCCATCTGCCCATCCATCCATCTATCCATCCATCTGTCCATCCATCCATACATCTAACCATCCATCCATCCATCCATCCATCCAACCATCCATCCATCCATCCATCCATCCATTCTTTCATCCATCCAATTATTTATCCATCCATCTATCTATGTAACTTACTTAGTACCTATTTTCTTGCCCTGGCACCATGCTCAAAATGCAAAGACCTAAAACACATAGTCTCTGCCTTGAATAGCTCAGCTTTGAGAAGTTCTCAAATGGAAGGACTTGTGACTGAAGGAGGCACATTAGAAGGATGCCTAATCCAGCCAGAGTGAGAGATCAAGGAAGACTTCCTGCAAGAGGCAATGCTTAAACTGAGTATTTAAAGTTGAGTAGGTGTCAACAAAACAAAAGAGAAGAAGCCTCCCAGGCAGAGAGGACAGTTAAAAGCATGAACAAGCCTTGTGGGTTCTGAAACTCCTCATGGGATCTGGAACGAGACCCAAGATCCCAAACTCAGCAAGGAGTCAGAATTAGTGTTCCAGTGGTCAACATAATGTCAGGGGCACAAGGACCCTTTGCCCATTCAGCCTGCACATTTATTTTAGGAAAATTTTTCTAATACACGTGTGAATAATCTTTCTCCCATTTTTACATTTTCTGTCTCAGAAACGCTAAGTATGATACGTTAGCTGTCTTCTGTGTGCCTTCCTTATTTCTCTGCCCCCTGTTTCACCTCGTGTTTCACTGCTGAGGCCAGGAAAGAGAAGACTAGATAGGATCAGAAGGAGAAGAAAGCCCATCACACATGACTCTGTAGCCACTGGGTTTTGGGTTTTCCTTTGAGTGAGATGGGAAACCGTTAGAAGCTCAGGAAATAACCCTAACCATCGTTGTTATTGTTGCCTTTGTGGTCACTGTTAGCAAGATGGCCGCTGTGCTGTGGAGCACTCCAAGGCGATTGTTGGCTGTCTTGAATGAGGGCAGCATCGGAGGGCCGCTTACCCACAGGGAGAAGGCCCGAGGAATCAGGGAAATGGCTGGAGAAGGAAAGCCAGGTATAATGGCCGCCTAGTTTCCAAAACCAGCGAAGAAAGCACAGGTAGGTGTTCACACAAAGATCAGGGCCGTGGGGGAAGTGGGACAGTAATGTTGGGAGCCAGAGACACGAGGGCAGGCCAGGCCGGAGATGTGGGAAAAGAGTGTCTGGGACAAGATGGTTGCCTGGGATGGGCCCCTGGGGGTAAGACGTATGCGGAGAAGGAGATGCCAAAATTCCAGAGCAGAGCCGGTGAGAGACGCCAAGTCTTAGATGGAGTTTCCCAGAACCAGATTATGGCATAAGGATTTACGTGCAGGGACTTTATTTGGGAAATGATCGCAAGGAAGAAAGAGACGGATGTCAGGTACACGCATGAGCAGTCTACCGCGATGGGCACCCGGGGCTCGCTCCGACTGGGGTTCCCCGACAGACTGCAGAGATCGACTCAGCACCGTGGCACGGAGGGGCGGGGGAGCTGGACGTCAGCCACCAGCCTCCATCTGCCATTGTTTACGGGAGCCCCTAGAAGTCCTCGATTGCTCCGGCCTCTCCCATGCACGGGCTGAGTCTGCTCCTGCTCAGGGGTATCGTGGGTCCTGGGGAAAGAAGCAATCAGCCACCGAGAGAAAGTGGGTGCACACAGGCAGGGGCATGGTGGCTTTCCCTGGGATGTCGTTGGCACTGGACGAACCCCTGCGGACTCTGCTGGACTCATATGACCCTGCTCCGACCCCAGGCCACCTCTTCTGCTTCTGACCATTGCGGGGGCGGTGGGAGATAAACCCTGGTCTCATTGGCCCAGAGTCCCACCCCCTCCACTGTTGACGGTCTTCTAGAAGGAATGCTCACTTTCAGCAGGGCCGAGGGAACCACAAGACCAGCCACGCCCTCCCATGCAATTCTGACTGGGTGAAACTGTGTTTCCTGCCAGGGGAATGAATATATGTATTTCTCTTCCCTCTTTATGACTTCATAAGCAATACTTTCCTACTCCATAAAGGTCTGGAAAAATACAGAAATGTGGAACGAAGGAAATGAATGACACCTGAAGTCCCCTTACCCAGAGATAAATATTGTTAACATTTTTGTAATTGATTTTTGCAGATTATTTTTTATTACATGCAATTTTTAGATGATTGAAGTCATAGTTTTATATATATATATATATATATATATATATATATATATATATATATTATCTGTCTTTTTTTATATCTAACATATCCCGAGACTTTCTTTTCCCCTCCTTAAACAAACATCTGCAAACATGACTTTTATGACTGCTCTTGGCCCAGCATGTGGTTTGCTGTTATCACGTCCACTCAGCATGTAATAGCTGGTCATCAAGGTTGTATCAAATATTTGTATTCTAGCAAACACTCTGGTGACTCTCCTTGTGCCCGGAGCTATTGGTACACCCCAAATTATTTCCTTAGGATGCCACCCCTCCTACTGACTCAAGAAGTGGGAGTTTCATGATAGGGTGTAAACAATAAAACTAAAAAAAAAAAAAAAAAGAAGAAGGCAGAATGGGAAGGAAGCCAGAAACGCATGGCAAAGTCCACCAGAAAACTTCTCGAGAACACGGAACCTCATACTGATCGATTTTCGTTTTTTCTTTCTTCTTAAAATTGATATGATGAGGACAAAGCATAGGAAAGGAGAAAATGCCTCTGTCATCGACAACGTCTTTCACATTTTCTCCTACGAGTAATGGAAGTGACTTCTAGCAGGGGCAAGGGAAATAAAAGCAAAAATGAACGATTGGGACCTCATCAAGATAAAAAGCTGCTGCACAGCAGAGGAAACAATCAGCAAAACTAAAAGGCGACCCATGGGATGGGAGAAGATATTTGCAAATGACATAGCAGATAAAGGGTTAGTATCCAAAATCTGTAAAGAACGTATCCAAATCAACACGCCCAAAAGCAAATAATCATGAAATAAATAATGAAGAAATGGGCAAATAAATAGCAAGAAATGGGCAAAAAAAAAAAAAAACCCACAAATAATCATGAAATAAATAGTGAAGAAATGGGCAAAAGATATGAATAAACACTCTTCCCAGAAAGATGTCCAGATAGCTAACAGACACATGAGAAGATGCTCAACATCGCTCATCATCGGGGAAATACAAATCAAAACCACAATGAGATACCACCTCACACCTGTCAGAATGGCTCACATGAACAACAGATGTTGGCGAGGAGGCGGTGAAAGAGGAACCGTGTCGCGCTGTTGGCCGGAATGCAAACTGGTGCAGCCACTCTGGAAAACAGCATGGAGGTTACTCGAAAAATTAAACATAGAGTTACCCCATGACCCAGCAATTGCACTACTATGAATCCTCCCAAAGGATACAAAAAGGCTGATTCGGAGGGGCACCTGCACCCCCAATGTTTATAGCAGCGTTATCAACAATAGCCAAGTATGGAAAGAGCCCACATGTCCGTTGACTGATCAAGGGATAAAGATGTGGTACATATACACGAAGGAATACTACTCCGTGATGAAAAGAATGAGATCTTGTCATTTGCAGCAACATGGATGGAACTAGAGTGTGTTATAGCCAAGTGAAATAAGTCAGAGGAAGACAGATATCATCATATGTGGAATTTGAGAAACTCGACAGATAAACATAGGGGAAGGGAAGGCACAATGAGATGAAAACTGAGAGGGAGGCAAGCCATTAGAGATGCTTAAATATAGGGAGCAAGCTGAGGGTTGCTGGAGGGGAGGGGGGCGACGGGCTAGACGGGCGAGGGGCGTGAAGGAGGGCACGCGTTGGGATGAGCACTGGGTGTCTTGCGTAAGAGACGAATCGCTGGGTCCTACTCCTGAAGCCAAGGCTACACTAGATATCAACCAACTTGAATTTTACAAAAATGACTTGTAGCTGCCAATATCCACCTTGTTGGTAATGGAACCCCGGCTTTGAAAGGGGCACGTAGCTGAACAGTTAAGAAACTACATCCCTGGGTTCCTGTGCACCGTGGTGACTATGGGACCGGCTTTTAGCCCACGGGAGGCTAGTACGAGTGTCATAGGGATTGGGGTAGACCAACTGTTACTGCGGCGCCTGTGGCCCTTGCTTCCTGAGGCTCACGTCTTTGCATGATCCCCTCCCCTGGAGGTGGGTGGGAGCTTGACCTGCTTCTAGACCGGCAGAATACAGCCAAGGTCAGAGGATGCCCGTGAGCGTGTGGTGATCACAGGTACATGTACACACACATATGTACACAGGTGGCCATGTCCTACAAGGACCCTTGCTCGTTTGATGAAGTACGTAGGCCAGTTAAGGAAGCCCATGTGACAAATGGCAGGCGGTTCCTAGGAGCTGAGTGAGGGACGCTTCCGGCAAAGAGCCCAAAAGAAACTGAGGCCCTCGGCCCCCCAGCCCTTCAAAGGATTGCAATTTTGGCAACAAAGCCACCTTAGCTTAGAAGTAGCTCAGAAGCCACCAGCTGGTACCTCCAAGGAGACAGCAGCACTAGCCTACACCTGGATGGAGGGGCCATGAGACTCTGAAGTAGAGAAACCCGCCTGAGCCGTTTCTAGACTCCTGACCCACAGTAACTGCGATGTGACAGATGCACAGCATTTTAAGCTGCTAAATTTGTGGTGATCTGCTACGTGGCAATAAAAAAGGTGCATGAGACGTCCAGAAAATGGCCTTAAAGAAAAAGAACGCCTTCTTCTTACCCATCTCGTCCTGCTGGTGACTTGGAATTTGGGTGTTGCCATGGCTGGAGCTGTGGCAGCCCTCTTGGGCCATGAGACCTTGAGATCAAAGCTGTGTGTTAAGGATGGAGCAGAGAAATCAGAACCCTGGGTTTCTGGGGAGACTGCTCGACTGCCCTGCTGCCCCCAGCTGCCTGCCTCTGGGCTCCTTTTACACAAGAGAGAGAGAACTTCCCTCCTATTTAGGCCACTGTCGCTTGGGATTCTCCGGCACTCACAGCAAGATCTAACGCTCACTGATGCAGGAGTACAGCGGGTCATAACCCAAGCTTGGAATTGGCCAACTAGGGCTCGAATCCTGGTCTGCTGTTTCCAAGCGGGTGAGTCCAAATGTTTCTTTACTCCTCTGAGCCTGGGCTCCCCCACCCGCCAAATGGGGGTAAGCCTTGCCTCTAACTCATGGTTGCGTTTAAAAGAACACGAGTGAACACCTTAACACTGCATCTGGCTCAATGTTCATTCTTGAGAGAGAGAGAGAGAGAGAGAGAGCGGGGGAGGGGCAGAGAGGGAGGGAGACACAGAATCCGAAGCAGGGTCCAGGCTCTGAGCTGTCAGCACAGAGCCCGACGCGGGGCTCGAACTCACGGACCGCGAGATCGCGACGTGAGCCGAAGTCGGACGCTCAACCGACTGAGCCACCCAGGCGCCCCAAGAGACTCACTTTAGATGTGAGGACACATGCAGACTGATCATGAAAGGAAGGAGAACAATATTCCATACAGATGGGAACCGAGAGTAAGATGGACCAGCCCCACTAATAACAGACAGAAGAGACTTTAAGTCAAAACTGATGATACACGGATGAATTCAGCACGAAGATGGAACTGGTGTGAATGTTCATGCACCCAACATCAGAGCCCCTAAATATTTAAAGTAAACACTGACCGAATGGAAGGAGAAACAGCCATGCGAAAAGAGTAGGAGATTTCAAAGAAGTCTCCATGCCATGAATACACACTTCTCTAAAGAAGACATCCGGATGGCCAACAGGCACATGAAAAGATGCTCAACGTCGCTCCTCATCAGGGAGATAGAAATCAAAACCACACTGAGATACCACCTCACACCGGTCAGAGTGACTAAAATGAACAAATCAGGAGACTCTAGATGCTGGAGAGGATGTGGAGAAACGGGAACCCTCTCGCACTGTTGGTGGGAATGCAAACTGGTGCAGCCACTCTGGAAAACAGTGTGGAGGTTCCTCAAAAAATTAAAAATAGAGCTACCCTATGACCCAGCAATAGCACTGCTAGGAATTTACCCAAGGGACACAGGAGTGCTGATGCATAGGGGCACACGTACCCCAATGTTTATAGCAGCACTTTCAACAATAGCCAAACTATGGAAAGAGCCTAAATGCCCATCAACTGACGAATGGATAAAGAAGATGTGGTTTATATATACAATGGAATACTACTTGGCAATGAGAAAGAATGAAATCTGGCCTTTTGTAGCAACGTGGATGGAACTGGAGAGTGTTATGCTAAGTGAAATGAGTCAGGCAGAAAAAGACAGATACCACATGTTTTCACTCATATGCGGATCCTGAGAAACTCAACAGAAGACCAGGAGGGAGGAGAGGGAGAAAAAAAGTTAGAGAGGGAGGGAGCCAAACCATAAGAGACTCTTAAAAACTGAGAATAAACTGAGGGCTGATGGGGGTGGGAGGGAGGGGAGGGTGGGGGATGGGCACCGAGGAGGGCACCTGTTGGGATGAGCCCTGGGTATTGTATGGAAACCAATTTGACAGTAAATTTCATATTGAAAAAAATAATAGTAACAAAATAAAAATAAATAAATAAATATCAAGTGGAAAAAATACCAAAAAACAAAAAACAAAGAAGTCTCCGTGCAAGGACCAGCATTGGAGCTGAGATCTGAAATACGGAAAAGATTGTCTACGGTAAAGAAATGAGATGGTACTTATTTTTTGTAAGACCATCGGCTGATTTTTTTTTTGTGCATTGTAAAAAAGTTTATTTTTTTTTAAGTTTACTTATTTATTCGGACAGAGACAGAGACGGCGTGAACAGGGGAGGGGCAGAGAGAGAGAGAGGGAGAGAGGGAATCGCAAGCAGGCTCCATGCTGTAAACGCAGATCCCGATGCGGGGCTCGAACTCACAGACGGTGAGATCGTGACCTGAGCCATAATCAAGAGTTGGACGCTTAGCTGACTGCTTCGGATTCTGTGTCTCCCTCTCTCTCTGCCCCTTTCCCGCTCGAGTGCTGTCTCTCTCTCTCTCTCTCTCTCTCTCTCTCAAAAATAAATAAACATCCAAAAAAAAACCAAGCCTTCAAGGGCGTAAAGCAGGAGGGGATCGATGCTCAGCCTTGCTTTTCTGGTAACTAGCCCCTGCTTCAGAAGGGAGGGGACGATGGAGGCCAAGGGAGAAGAGTGTGGGTAGGGAATAAACATGGTGGGGAAAGAGAGGAAGCATGACCTTTAGAGAGATATCCTGCCAAGTTCAAGCGATAAACACTCACAGCACCAACTCTGTGCGGGGCCCCGTGTTGGGTGCTGTTGGCATAGTCAACTCCAAGAGGTCCTTCCACGGAGAGCCGCTCCTGGAGGAGACAGACCCGTCCAGCCCAGGAGGGTGGTATTACCACACCTCCTCCCGCACGCGTGTGCGTGCACACACATGCACGCACCTGAGACAAGCCAGGGCGGGGAGGTTTCCCAAATGTCAAGCCATGGGTTGCACTGCCTGCGATGCGAAGGGTTGCCACTGCCTCCTTCAGGAGAGGAAGCCAGAGGAGGAAAAGCTTCATTCTGCAGACGGCTGTTGGGTCCCCAATGTGTGCCAGGCCCCTGGCTCGAGCCAAGAGCTAAGGACTGAAGATGAAGGTCAACATGCCCCTGACCTCCAGGAACTCAGCCTAATGAGAGACCTGCGGAATGAAACAGGTAACCAGAGATGCTTTGAGAGGCTCAGCCAGTTAGCATCAGAAATGCCATCACGGAGGGATGCCAGGGTGGCTCGGTCGGTTGAGCGACCGACTTCGGCTCAGGTCATGATCTGGCGATTCTTGGGTCCGAGCCCTGCGTCGGGCTCTGTGCTGACAGCTCGGAGCCTGGAGGCTGCTTCGGATTCTGTGTCTCCCTCTGGCTCTGCTCCTCCCCGCCTCATGCTCTGTCTCTCTCAAAGGTAAATAAACATTAAAAAAATTAAGAAATGCCATCACGGAACAGCAACAATAATGACATCAAAGCGGGAGGCAGCGGTCTTTGCATGGCCCCCTCGTATCACACACGCCCGCAGCCCGCAGTCGCTGCTCTGCTCCCTTCAAACCCTCAGGTCCTACATTGGGGTGCCCCCCTCCATGATCTATCAGCTCCCAGACCTCATGCAGTTGGGAGCCAACCCTCCCAGGCTGCAGGGAGATCCCAGACCCACCATGCCTGTTCATCTTTCTCGTGTGTTTCCCTTAACATTTTCTGAGACATTTCCTCAGCTCAAGGAACCTGAAGACTGGCTTTCGGTACATCCAGAAGAATATTCTTCCTTGGAGCGTTTTGGGACAAGTCCCAGCAAACCATCGTCTGCACATTTTTATCAGCTAGTCTGAGTCAGAACTGCCAACCCAAGCGGGGCAGAGAAGGACCGTCCACCGTGGAGTCAACCCCACCCCACGAGGCAGAAGGCACGTCCTGCTGGGGAGCCTGGAAGAGCCAGGCTCGTTGCCGAGAGCGTGGGCAGCACGGGAGATCAGGAAGCTCACAGAACGCACGAGAAGGCTGGAGGAGCGGAGTCAGGGCGAGGGCAGGAGGCAGGGAGCCCGGGGGACTCAGCACGGACTGAGTCTTCTCTGGGCTTCTCTCAGTTTCCTGTGGCCTCTATCTACTGCAGCCACACAGTCGGTGCCTTAAGGCAACACGCGGTTCGTGTCTTAGGGTTCCGCAGGCCAGAAGTCTAAAATCAAGGTGTCAGCAGAGTCGTGTTTCTTCTGGAGCTTCCAGGGGAAAAATCTGATCCCTGCCTCTTCCAGCTTTCCCCGGGCCGCCCACATTCCTTGGCTCCTGGCCCCACGTCTCACCGCCTTTTCCTTCTCCGTTTCCGCGGTCCCCTCGCCTCCTTCTACCGGACTGATCCCCGGCCTCCTTCTCGAAAGGACTCTTGTGATTACATCAGTCCGTTTCAAGATCCTTAACTTAATCACACCTGCAGCGTCCCTGTTACCATGTAACACAACGTATCGGCAGGTGCCGGGATTAGGAGCTGGGACATCTTGGTTGGGGTGTGAATCTGGGGGCGACGAAGGGCCGCCCAGAGCGACACCGGCCCGCTCTGTCCCGCCGCGATCGTGGGCGCCCTGCCAAGGACTGTTGTCCGGGATCGGCTGCGGTCCTTGAACACGCTGCAGAAGCTTCGTTACCACACCCGTTTTACACACAGGAAGCGAGGAAACGGAGGCTCCGAGAGACTGAAACGTCTTGCCCAAGAGCACCCCTGTGGTAGGGGGCCGAGCGCAGAAACCCAGCTCCAAAAGACTTTAAAATCCAGGAAATGATGGAATCCAGTGGTAGGCTGCTTTGTTTTTTTCTTCTCTATTTTGTTTTCCATGGAATTCAAGGTTGGGTGAGTAAAGAAAGGAATCTGATAAACTCGAGCAGGCCTGGAACTTTTCCCAGAGCCCGTGGGGCAGAGAACCAAATTGTACAGACACACCCTCTCGGCCAGAGCATTCTTTTAAAACAGCCACTCCGGCCGGCTCAGTTCCTGTCTGTACCTCTGAGAAAGGACAGCCCTGCCGTCAGAGTGGAAATAGAGGGCTTCACTCCCCTGCCTTCCCTTGAGCCGAGCATGCAGGAGACGCAGAGCAGAGAGAGGTCAGGCAGCCTGCCCGAGGTCACACAGCAGGGAAGAGGGTGCTCTGTGTGGTGCAAAGGAAATCCTGCCAGACCACAGAGCACCCATGACCAGCCTGCTGGAGCGGCTCTTGGAAGAGAAGTCGCTTTGGAATCAAAGGTCATGAGCCAAGGACTACTCCCCAGGGGCTGGAGGGAGACGCCCTCATTCCTCCCCGGACCCAGACGGTGAACGCGTCTCTCCTCTTCTCTGGCCGCCGGTGACCTGAGGTGCCAACTTCACGCACGGACCTGGCAGCTCCGAGGGGCCCAGCAAACTCTGTCCCGGGAGACCTCAGCTCGTGAGCCAAACGAGAGGCTCCATGACACGTTGTGTTATTGTTTTGTTCCCAGACCAACAAAGAAAAGCTCGGTGGGCAGCGCCAGCTGGCTCATCTGGTAAAGGAGAACTTTGAGGCCGGGAAGCTTCCAGATAGAGGCCGCGCGCTGGCTCAAGCAGCCCTGGGCACCTGCAGGCCTCTCCAGGTAATGTGTGTGACCTCAGGCCATCCCAGCCCCTTCTCTGGCTCCAGCTGCCCCGTCTGTGGGACAAGAGGGACGGGAGGGGGTTCAGGGGTTTTCTGCAGGTGACACTGGCCCAAAGAAGGCTGTTCCTCTGAAGGGGACAGCCCTGACCGTCCCCACCACCCTGTGTGCCTCAGCATGAAGAAGTTCCTGGCGTCGCCACCCACCACAGGCTCTGATCCAGGAAGGGGGGGGGGCAGGGCCAGCCCAGGGGCAGATCACAGGGCAGGCAGGAAATAGGGGCTCCTCCTGTCCTGCCGGGGACAGAGGTTTTTCCCTGTGGAGACCCTTCTCCTGCCTGCTTGCAGCCTCCCTCCGTGCCCACGGGACCTTGGCCGCACCGACCTCCAAGCAGACAAAGCCCTTCTCACTTTAGGGACCTCTCCTCCGAGATACAAAGATCCAGAAGCCGAGCCCCTGGCCAGGCTCTCAGCCTGGCCAGCGAGACTTCCTGCCTGACCCGACCTAACTGTGTTCAGCCCTCAGTTTCCTCTTCTGTTCCCGGGGGGCTTGCGGCAGCTGCAACGAAGACCCCTCTTTTCTCCAGTTGGAGGATCCCGTCACCCACGGGGAGAAGCCGCAAGAGAACACTGTCATCCCTGCCGAGTCCCCTGAGGGCCATCTGTCCCTTCTGCTTGGTGTCTCCTGGGGCCCTGTGAAGGGGGGACCAGCTCGTTCTGCTCCTGTCAGAGGAGAGGGCGGGCAGCCAGAGAGGGAAGCCAGAGTCACACTGCCCACGTTCAAAGACTCCCTTGAGGAGTCGGGGAAGCCCAGGGACCCCGTGGCGGGTTAAATGGTGTCGCCCACCCCCAAGACATCTATCCACCGGGAAGCTGTGAACGTGACCCTGTTCGGCGGCGGGTCTTCGTAGGCGTAATTAAGGATTTCTAGATGAGGGATGGAACCCTAAATCTAATGACGGATGTCCGTAGGAGGAGAGGGAGGTTGGAGAGGCAGAGGGACACAGGGCAGAAGCATGTGAAGACAGGACTCACGCGGGCGTGATGGGCCTACAAGCCAAGGGATGGCGGGGGTGGCCGGAAGGAGCCCACCTGCCAGGGCTCCGCGTCACTCCTGGGGCCTCCACCACTATGACAGAACACACGTGTGGGAGAGCAGCCCCGGGAAATGTTTCCAGAAACAGGCGATCCAATGCCTTGGAGGCTAAAGGAGACCATCTGTGACAAACTTCCGTCTCCCTCCCGCCAGCCAGCTTTGCAGGCTCCCCCCCCCCCCCACTGTTCTCACTTCTCCTGCTGCAGCCCTGAGGTCAAAGAGGAGTTGGGGGGGGGGAAGGGGGGAAAGACAGGGAGAGAAAGAGAGAGAGAGTGTGTGGCCCGGTGCGAGTGTGGTATGCGTCTGTAGTGTGCATATGGGTGACAGGCGGGATGCGCAGGTGCGTGTGCAGAGCTGAGAAGAAAGGCCTACGGAGGGGGGGGGCCCAGCTTTGGCCCCCCCGTGCCTCTCCCGCCTCCCCCTGCCCCATCCACCCACCATCCAGGAGACAAAGCACTCTCCCCTCTCCCCAAAGCCAAGGGCCAGGCCACCGTCACCAATCGGCAGTTGTCCCAGGGGCAGAGACACAGCCCGGATGGGTGCAGGGAACGACGGGCCTGCACGGCCCCACCGCCGGCACCGAGCCTCGCTGGCCCTGCTTCATCTTGGTGGGCACGACGCCGCCTCGTGCACAGCGGTCTGGGGAGGACACCGCCATGCCTCCCAAGATCTGGACCAGCCCGGCCTGGGGTCTCTTCCAAGGACACCCGTGTCCCTCCAGCCGACATGGCAGCTGTGAACGGAGCAGCTGTGCGGGTGTCCTGGCCGGGCCTGGCCCCCTCCCCCCAGCCCTAGCGCCTGGGCCAGGGGCTCAGGGAGGTGCCTGACGACCGCCCCCACCTGGCCCAGGGCCTTGCCACGCCGGAGGAGAGAGAGGCCCGTTGGTTATGTCGTCGAAAACACTGGCGGGAAGTCACATTTCCCTTTTGTGGAGGCAGCTGAGAGGCCTGGCCTGAGCTCCGGGGTCTCCAGGGCTTACGCCCAAGAGACAGGGGCTGGTGACCGGCCTCCCCTACCCTCCAGCTTATGGGGAGCTCGGGAGCTTCCCAAAGAGCTCAGCCCCACCCTCCCCCACACCCACACCCGGGGGGCTCCCGGGTGCCTCCAATAAAGCCCCAGCCCCTCCCCACCAGCTCCGGGGCCCTGAGGGTCTGGCCTCCTGTCCCTCTTACCCTCAGGCCACCGGGCTCCCCGACGCTCTCACGTGCTGACCCTCGCTGGACATGCCCAGCGTTCGCCCCTTCGCTGCCCTTCTTCACTCTCCGAGTCTTGGCTGAAGTGTTTCCTTCCGGGTGAAACTTCCCTTCAGCCGCGCGGTCTGCGTCGGCTCCCCTCTTCCCAACCACATCATTTCCTGTTCCCTTGTTTTCCCTCATGTCCTGACCACATGAGCATCTGTATGCGCTCGTTTGTGGGTTCGCCTGTTTACGGTGTCTTGCCCTCACAAAGCCGTGCGTTCCCCCAGGGCGTGGATTATTCTTTCTTATCTACCTGCTCAGGCGCAGTGTGTAGTTTCTGGCACGTCGAAGAGGCCTGCGTCAGTCAGGATAAATTCGGTTATGCCGCAGCGACACATATCCCCAGACTGTACGTAAGGACTTAAAGCAACCCTCAGGGGTTCAGGCCGGTAGGACCGCCCACCTTGACTTCCTGCTTTCCATAGCAGAAAGAAGGAACTATGGGGAATCACACACCGGAGTTTAAAGTTTTTACCCAGAAGTGACCTACTTCCCTCCGTTTCATTGACCAAAGCAGCTCACACAGCCCTGAAGAGTCAGAAGGAAACAGAGGCAAAACATTTCGGAAGAGCCCCAAGGTCAACAGCCAAAACGGTCATAGTTGTCCAGGTCTTCTGCATTCATGACCCTGTACACAGAGATTCTGTAGCTCTACCTTCAAGAAATGGTGGAATCCATCTCTGCCTCCTGGAGTCTTGGTTGGCCGTGACTCGCTATGAAAAACACAATGTGGAGGAGGTGATGCTGTGGCATCTACAACCTAGGCTCAGAGGCCTTGCGCCATCCCACCCGTTCTCTTAGAACCTGGGTCGGCCTTCTGGAAAACGAGACCTGTGGCCCAGTCATACACGAGCAAGCCAACTGGTGGACATAGGAGGGAGGTCTTGTAATATCAGCCAGAAAGCCCAGCCAACTTCAGCTGACCCTTGACCAGATGATCACTGCTTCCCCCGCCCCAGTGGCTTGTGAGAAATAATGAATGCTTGCTGTTCCAAGCCACCAGTTTGGGGGCAGTTTGTTACACGGCAACAGCAGACTGCTATCAACCCTAATGACATACGGTGCTTTGTTAAATACTCATTGAATGAAAGACGGAGAGCAGAGCAGATTCTTTCCCTCTCTCGCTTTCTCTACCAAAGCCCAGGCTGGGCTTCCAGGAACTAGGAATCCTGACTTAAAACATAAAGCCTCGGGGTGCCTGGGTGGCTCCGTCAGTGAAGCACCCGACTTCGGCTTAGGTCACGATCTCACGGTTCGTGAGTTTGAGCCCCGCATCGGGCTCCATGCCGACAGCTTGGAGCCCGGAGTCTGCTTCGGATTCTGTGCCTCCCTCTGTCTCTGCCCCACCCCTGCTTGCGCTCCGTCTCTCAAAAATGAATAAACGTTAAAAATGTTGTGTAAATGTAAAGCCTCTTGTGAGTTGGTGGAGAGATTGTACGTTCTACCTCTGCAACTCACAAGAGTGGCTCCTTGGGAAACTTCTTTCTCCCTGTGTCTTAGTTTTCCTAGATAGAAAATGAGGAGCTAATTTGACATGCTTCAATGCCTCTACCAATGTGCAGGCTGGAATTTTCTAAGCTGTTCCCTGCAGGCTGCATCTCCCAGAAAAGAGAGACCACTGAGGGAGAACAAGATTCCGAATTGTGTCTTGGGACAGCTGGATTGAACTGGAAACCATGGTTCCATCCCAGGGAGATGGGACCATGCTGCCCTTGAGTACAGGAAACATAGACAAGAGACCAGGGTTAGGGGTGGGGGTGGGGTTAATTCCCTGGGCTCCTCAAGGGCTCACAGCCAAAATCAGACACCGCCATCATTTAAGCAAGCCCCTCCAATTAGCCAGAACCAGGGGTGAGCCCTCGGGGTACAGAAATGGTCATCCCAGCCCCCAGGTTTCATGAGCCTTTGGTGCCCTGCAGGAGGCAGGGAGGTCTCCACCCGAGATTAGGATTATATTTCAATTCTGCTTCTGAGCCCATCACTGGGCTTTTTATTTCACTTAGTGTATTTTCAGTTCCACAAGTTTCATCGGGTTCTTCTTTTATATCTTCTCGGGTTTTGGTTAGTTGTTTTTTGTTTTTTGGTTTTTTTTCCCCTGAGATTTTCTGTTTCTTGGCTGAGGCTTTCTATTTTCTTCATTTGTTTCACGTGTGTTCATAGTTGCTCGCTGAAGTATATTTAAGATTTCAGCCCTAACGTTTCAGCCCCAAGTTTCTTTGCATAATTCTAAAACTTCTGTGTTCATGGTTTTGGAATCCACTGATCGTCTTTCAATCGGTTTGAGAGCTTCTTGGTTCTTCCTGGTGCTTGGCATGAGGGGCTTTCGGTTGAAGCCGAAAGTGTGTGTTATGTGACAGAGACGCTGGATCTCACGTAGACCATCTGTTTGGTGTGGCTTTTTCTGACACCGCGGCAGCGAGGAAGGACAGAAAGAGGTCGGAGTTTGGGGGTCACTCTCTGGCCTCCAAGGCAGGGACGCCGGGGGGCTCCTTGTTAATTGTCTCTCAGTTAGTCCTGCTAAGACCCTACCAGTCAGGGAAAGCGGGTGCCGTTACCGCCCCGGCTGTGAATTTGACACCGAGGAATGGAAACGTTCATTACTCGCTCAACCACACAGCCCAATGTGGAATGACAACGGCTGGACCCTGCATCAGCGCATCCACCAAAGCATCAGCTCTGACCCATTCTGGTCCACGGCCTCTGCATAGAGGCTGTGATCATGCCCTGGGCATCCCCGTGTCCCGAGGGATGGGGACAGGGCCTGGCCCGGCCATAGGTGCCCAGGGCATGTGAAGAGCTAAACCATCACCGGAAGTACCAGTCGAACGTATAAGGACTTGATACTCAGGCAGCACGGGGAAGCCTTGTGGGGGGCCCACCCTCGGAGTCTGTGTATGCTCTGTCCGCCTGGCCCAAAGCAGGCCACTCCACCTCTCTTAGCCTCAGTTTCCCTATCTGAAAGCTGGGGCTAACGAGACCCCAAATTTCAATAAGGTGATAGCTGTAGGAGCATAGCAGCTCCTGGGGTGCCGTCAGGCTCCAGCGTGTCTCTTCCCATTCCTGCCGGTCCGAAGTCCTGTGGAACCTAGCGAGGAAGCACTCATATGGGCCCGAGGGACGGTCACGCACCAGAGAAGCGAGGCTCTGGGAGCTCGGGAGGACATTCAGGGTTAGACCAGAGGAAGACATGGGTGGAGGCCACAGGCCTGAGGGGCAGGCCATCCAGAACAAACAGGAGTGGGGAAAGAGCTTTCTGGAAACAGGCTGTGTGTGGAGGAGCCCTGGCCGGCTCTTACTCGGGGCCTCACTAGAATCCAGCCTCACCCTGAGAGGAACCCAGGACACTGCAGCCTGGGAGGCAGACCCTGCAGGGTGGAAAGGCATTGGACTTCCCTCCTCGTGTGAAGAAAGGAGAGACGGGGACGTCTGCCAGCCCCAGACTCCCCGGAGCCAGGTGAGTGCTGGGAGCCTAGTGTCACCGGCAACAGAAGGCCAACCTGCCTATCTCCTTGGAATTCCTGGGCCAGCTTCAGTATGAGATCCGGGCCCAGATCAGAAGAAATGACAGCTGTCGGTGGCTTCTGTGGAAGCCCAGGAATGAGGAAGATCGTGCACATGGCGGCGAGGGCCTATTCAAAAAGATGTCAAGACAGCTTGGTTTCCAGTGGCTTCCAACCCTGCACCAGCCGGGATCACTGCCTCTCCTGTTCCTCTTCGGCTTCTCCCCAGCTCCAGGGCCATCTCCTACTTCTTCCAAGCAGATCAGCGCCTTCTGACCTGAAGACCTTCGATTACCATCTCCGCCCCCCCCCCGCCTGAAATGCTACCCCCTGACTCTCCAGGGATGAGTCCTTGTCCCCCTTAGATTTTGGCTGAGGTACCTGCCCAGCCGGCTTCATCGAAGTCTGCACCACCGCCCTCCGGAATCTTGTCCTTTGGGTCACGATGAATTTTGTGACTGCTTTTCTTTTCTTGTTGTTCTTAGCATCTCAGGTCTGGCTCCAGGTTTCTGGAAAGCAGAGACATTGCACTCTCTGTGCACTCACGTCCCCCCCCGGCGTTCAGCATGGTGCCGGGCCCCTAGTAGATGCTCTTAGAAATTTCCTGAACAAATGAAGGAATCGTGTACAGAAGATCTGCTTTTCCTAGGAGGGAGGGACTCAAGAGAACTTGCTAGAAGGAGACACAGAGGAAGCTAAATAGATAAATGCATTTGTGACAACCCTGGACAAAGTTAGGAATTTAATCCAGTTCATAAATTCTTTCTTTTTTTTCCCCCTAAACTTGTAGCTTTTGACCACCATCACCCATTTTACCCACCCTTCAAGTGAGCCCCAGCCTTCTCCATGGTGGTGAAGACCCCAGTGGACTCCACAACATACTCAGCACCAGCATCACCCCCATTTGATGTTGGCGGGATCTCGCTCCTGGAAGATGGTGATGGGCTTTCCATGGATGACACGTTTCCCATTCTCAGCCTTGACTGTGCCGTGGAATTTGCCGTGGGTGGAATCAGACTGGGACATGTAGACCGTGTCGTGAAGGTCGATGAAAGGGTCGTTCATGGCGACAATGTCCACTTTGCCAGAGTTGAAAGCAGCCCTCGTGACCAGGCGCCCAATACGGCCAAATCCGTTGACTCCGACCTTCACCATCGTGTCTCGGGGACGCGGCTGGCACTGCACCAGGAGATGCGGCTGTCTGTCCAACGGGGAAGAGCAGAGAGCCACCTCACCTCAGGCAACCACCAACCTGCTCTCTGTATCTGTGAGTTTTGGGGTCAATTCTAATATTAGCATTCTAACATCCCCATTCTGACTGGACTGAGAGGATAACTCATCGCGATTTTGATTTGCATTTCCCCTGATGATGAGTGACACTGAGCCTATTTTTCATGTACGTGTTGGCCATCTGTATATCTTCCTTGGAAAAATGCCTATTCAGATCCCCTACCCATTTTTTAAGGGGATTTTTAAAAGTTTACTTATTTGTTTTCAGGAAGAGAGAGAGAGAGAGAGAGAGAGAGAGAGCATGCACATTCGGGAGGGGCAGACACAGAATGAGAGAGAGAATCCCAAGCAGGTTCCACGTTCCGCAAGAAGCCTGACAAGGGGCTTGATCTCATGAACCGTGAGATCATGCCCTGAGCTGAAATCAAGAGTCAGACGCTTGACCGACTGAAGCACCCAGGCACCCATTTGGGCTTTTTTTGCTATTGAGTCGCCCATAAATTATTTCTTTAAAAAAAAATTTTTTTTTAACGTTTTATTTATTTTTGAGACAGAGAGAGACACAGCATGAACGGGGGAGGGGCAGAGAGAGAGGGAGACACAGAATCGGAAGCAGGCTCCAGGCTCTGAGCCGTCAGCCCAGAGCCCGACGCGGGGCTCGAACTCGCGGACCGCGAGATCGTGACCTGAGCTGAAGTCGGACGCTTAACCGACTGAGCCACCCAGGCGCCCCTATTTCTTAATATTTATTAGGAGCCTATTATGTTCCTGCTATGATTAATTCAGCGGCTACAGCTTCTCTTCGGCGAGGACATTCCTGTGAAGGGCTCCATATTTTGAGTATTGGCCTTGACACCTATACTGTTTATGTAATTAAATAAGCTAAAGTCCTTGATCTACAGTCAGGTGGAAACAAATCGATATGTGAATAACCCTTTATCAGGAGACGGGTAGTAAAGTATATTAGAAAGGTTCAAAGGGCTACTAAGACCTGGGAAGGGAAGATGAATTCGGAGCGTGGGCTCGTGGAAGGTTCCTGGGGAGAAGGCGAATCCCAACTGGACTTTTGTCAGGACGTGGTGTTGAATGGGGGTGTGGGAGGAGAGCCCCAGAAAGCTGGCCTGTAGAGTTCAAAATGGTGTGAGTCTAGAGCAACCCACGATGTGGAATATAAATCGAGAAGTCCTTTTCCTTCTGACTGGCCAAGTCTTTTCAACCGTGTGCCAGAGAAAGCCATAAAAGGCCTTGCAACGGGTGAATTGGTGTGCTCCAAGCTGCCGTTAGGAAGGCCCTTTGGCGGATGGAGCAGGAGATGCCAGATCCGGCAAGGCAGCCAGAGAAAGGAAAAGTGGACCAATTCAGGAGACAAGGCACAGAAAGATGGGACAGGATGTGACGTCTGGTTGGACAGGAAGCAGGGAGGCATGGGGGAGGGGGGAAGACCAACTGGTCTCAGCAACTGGTCCCAGGAGATAACATGGGACAAAGCCAGCCCTGTGGACAGTCTTGTGCGGAGGTGAGGCTGAGGAGGCCCATTTGAGACATGCCGGGTTTGCAGCAGCATCCGCAGAACATTCCAGAAGGAGATGCCCAAGACAGAGCCAGCGCCTCGACCCAAAACTCAGGAAAGCACAGGCAAGTTTCATGGTTGCCACTGGTCTCTGGCTTCTTGGCCGCGATAGGACCCGAAAGCCCAGCTCTGTGTCCTGCCGTCAGCTGGGGGGTGAATGGCCTCCAGCTCAAGCCAACGGGGTGTCCATTTCCGGCCCCTGTTTCTAGGGAGTCCTTTGAACTACCTGGCTTGGCTCACACCCATGACCTACTGAAGCTGGCCCCCGGTTTCTGACTCCCTCTCTGAAGAGTTTCTCCATTCCCTCTGCCCCTCAGTTCTTCCCTTCACCCTTGACTTCTAGCATGTTGGGCCACCTGGGCTTTCTCTCCACAGAGCCCCCGCTGACCTTCAGGACAGACTTTCTGTGAGTGGGTGTTATCACCCACATTGTACAGATGAAGAAAACTGAGGATTCCAGAAGTGGGTTGCCTTTTTGAGGCCCCCATTCTCTGTCCTCAGGGAACTCATCTAGTGACAGAAACAAATCCATAAACGCCCACAACACTACCCACATTCTACGTGAATGTGAACTGTGTGATTTTTGAAGATCTGCAGCGTAGAAATATAAACCATTCCCAGTCGATGTGCCAAATGTGAAAGAACTCAAGTCCCCCACCCCCTTCAGCCACGTATCAATTACATAACTTCCCAGTTGGCAGGCGGAAAGAACTCCAAACTGTGTCTATGCTCCTGCTCTATTCTACACCTGTGCTACTTTAGCTGGAGGACAGAAATGCTCATCATCACCATTGGTGGCATTGGTCTTAAGTGCACACATTCACAATCGTGAGCAATCTTTAAGAGCACACTCTTCTTTTTTCTTTAAAGTTTATTTATTTTGAGAAAGACAGCAGCATGAGCAGGGAAGGGGCAGAGAGAGAAGGAGAGAGAGACTCTCAAGCAGGCTCCTCGATATCAGGACTTGGAGCCCAGCGTGGGGCTCGATCTCATAAACCGTGAGATCATGACGTGGGCTGAAATCAAGAGTCAGAGGCTAAACCGACTGAACCGCCCAGGCACCCTGAGGAGCATAGTCTTCTGATGAGATTTATGGAGTAGGTGCTTCAGGGGCATCTTTCTCAAACAGACCACTGATGATCCCCCGGGCAGAGCAAGGTCATGTCTACCCAGGAGACGAGGGGAAGTCATTGTTTCTTTTAAACCCCTCTGCAGCCCTAGGAGTCGAGTGTTCCTATTATTTTATAAATTAATAAATTATTTTATAAATGGAGAAATTGCCTTGTAATTTAAAATATGCCCATACATTCTTTTATTCTTCTTCCTTTGGAGGTGGAGCCTCATTGTCCTCCGTGTGCTCGTGGGCTGCACTTGGTGAATCCAGTGGATAGAATGTGGCAGAAACGATGGTGCTAGACTTCCAGGAGTGGATCCCAAAAGGCACCGTGGCCTCCTCTTTGCTGACTGTTTGGATCACTCATTCTGGGGAAGGCCAGCTGCCATGTCACGAGGACCGTCAAGCAGCCCTCGGGAGAAAAGCATGTGGCAAGGAACAGAGCACCCCCCTCCACCCCCCACCCCACAGCCATGGGAGCGAGCCATTTCGGAAGCCCCAGTGAAAGCTCCTGGTGACCACAGCTCCAGCCGTTGAGTGGACCGCACCTCCTGGAAGAGACCTTGAGCCAGAGTCACCCAGCTAGGCTGCCCTCCCCGCCATTCACCCCCACCCTGTCAAATTCCTGATTCACAGGAGTCACAAAATAATAAATGTTTGTTGTTTGCAGTGGATAAGTTTTTGGATAACTTGTTACATGGCAATCGATAACTGATACCCTTTCCTTAGGCCACATAGCTGGGAAGTGATTGGGCTGGGGTTTAAGGTCAAGTTGACAGGTTTTCAAGTCCAAGTTCTCACCGCTGTGACAGATACAAGTTGTCCTCCCATGTCCATTCTTCTCTTCTTTTGGAGTGATAGACTTTTCACCTGGGCACAAGAATGCCCAGCTAAAACATGCATTTCCTGGAGTCCTTTGAGGTTAAGGCCATGTGACCAAACTCGAGTCAGTAAGATATGAGAGGAAGTACTATATGCAACTTCTTTTCCCAGTTCATGAGATGGAATGAGAATGTGATGGGTGGAACTGAAGCAGCCTTTTTGGAACATGAGATATAAGTTTCACAAGGAGAATTGCAGGGCAATGAGACGGAAGAAGTCTGAGTTCTGATAACTGTGGAGTTGCTATGCAAATCCTGGACCACCTCCTCAGGGGATCTTTATATGGCAATGATCATTAAATTTATTTTTTTAAGTTTATATATTTATTTTGAGAGAGACAGAGAGAGAGACAGAGAGAGATAGAGAGAGAGAGAGAGAGAGAGAGAGAGAGAGAGAATCCAAAGCAGGCTCCTCACCGTCCACGCAGAGCCCGACACGGGGCTCAAACCCACGAACAGTGAGATCATGACCTGAGCTGAAGCCAAGAGTCAGACGCTGAACCGACTGAACCACCAGGCACCCCTGATCATTAAATTTAAATTTTTGTTTTAAGTCATTATTATTTTAAGGCTCGCTGTTACAGCAGCCAGAGTAATACGATGTGCAACCACTATGTTCTGCTGTCTACAGTTTCTTAGACTTAGAGCATAAGGGGGAACCCAAAACCACGTGTGTCCTTGGCATTGAGGGCACAGTAAGTCTTGTCTCACACAAAATGTACTATCAGCTTAAATACCCATGGGCATTGCTAATCAGGCACAAATTTATTTGGAAGGGTCACGGAATTTAAAAGTCTGCACCAGGAGAAAAGGAGACAAATAATACATATAAGCACCCGACATTGAGTATTCAATAGAGACTTGTTATTATAAGGCCAAAAAAAAAAAAATGTCTCCCAATCAACAGTTGGCACAATGGTGGGGATTCACTAAAAGTCTTGATGGTAAAGGACTGGGCTGCTGTCCCGCTTGGGGGTGGGGGGGGTGTTGCGTATGGCAGACTTCAGCTGATTATCTGAGGAGGTCCTCGGTCACCCTCACTTGCCCCAGTGGGCAGACACCTGACAACCCTGAGCTCTCCTGCCCACCAAAGCAGGGGTCAGGCTGCTAATCATTGATAGGCCATGTGACAGGCCGGGCCCCTGGCCTCGGGACTCTGGTTCAAAGTGAGACCAAGACCTTGGGAGGCAAGGGGAGAGCCTGATGTGAGCTGGAGTGGAACGGGGGCAGTCCAGCCCCCAAGTGATGTCACCTACACGGCCGTCAGCATCCTCCTCCCCACCTGAAAGCGCAGATGAAAACCTCAAGTTCCCGGTGGGTCCTTGGACTGGGTATCCTCCCTGCCTGCAGAGCTGCTCCCCAAGAAACGATTGCATCCTCACCACCCAGAAAGTTCATGAAGCATTTCCTGTCCACGTTGGATAGCACGAGAATTCCTTCTGGAGGTATGGAGGGATTTGGAGGCCCCATTCTGCACAGTAGGAACCTGATGCTCAGAGAGGTTAACTGACTTGGCTCAAGCCACACAGGTGGTGAGAGGCAGAACAGGGCAAGTTTTGACGCCTTTCCTCTTCATCGATTGCATTTGTCCTGCTA